ACTTAGCAACAAACTCACAACCTGGGACCGGACAGGGGAGCTTTTGTGTGTGGATGGCTGTGTATCATGTTTTTGTGATTCCCTGTGATAATGTGCACATGTTCCCTTACTGAGATGATGGAATTTAATTTTGGCTTAGTTGCCAGAAAGATACATACAACTTTTAGCATCTGTACATTATGGCAGTATGCAATATCCAATAAATACATATACTTAAACAAAAGTAATGTAAGAAGTTATATGAGGAGAGGCTAACTGGCTAACAATGTAGCTTTCAAGTACACATTTCAAGATAACAACAATATAACTTAAAACACAGCCTTATTTTATAAACCCTCAAAAACATTTGAACACATTTTACTTACTCATTGTAGATTCTTATTTAAAGCCTAAACATATCAGACTCAACATCTCAATTGATAGACAGAGAATAGAGCACACTCAGCAGTAAACAAATCAAACACCTGGCTCTCTTAAAGGGCCAGCATTTTCTGAAAACTCTTTCTAACACCTTTGTGTTTAGAATAAAACGGACAGCCTGTGGGAGTGTGTGGTGATGCCTAAATCATTGTTTTTTACAGTTATTTACTGCACAATCTACAGAGTAACAGTGCAGTTATACTAATTAAACACACCTGATCAAACTAAATCTAAAGGTAGTGTGTTGAAGCAGGGCTGGAACTAAATTCTACTAGGCTGTGGCCTTCCAGGAGTTTGACACCCCTGGTACATAGCATATTTTCAAAGCAACTGCCTACATTTATCACAGTTATGCACATATTGTTTAATAAAACAATAAAAATATGCTATAATATAAACTTCATCCATAGAATATAAATAAATAAATAATCTGATTCTCATGTCGTTCCAAATCTGTAATAAAAATAATAAAAAACACAACAAATATCATGATTTATACATTTATTTAGGAAAGCCTTTATACTGTTAATGGCACTTTTACTTGCCAGTTTTCCAGACAAATTCTTGAGTCTCAGCAAAATTGTATGTGCGTGTTGTTTAAGATATATATATATATATATATATATATATATATATATATATATATATATATATATATATATATATATATATATATATATATAAAAAATATAAATATAAAATACTAATATTCAATTAGATTAGATTAATTATAGAAAAAGTAAACAAAGTTATAAAAATTATTGTGACAATTTCTTTGCTCTGTGTGAATATTTTTGCCTTTAAATGCATTTCGTCCATATCTTACACTTACCTTTTAATAAGCTCTGTGGCATTGGTTGACTCCTGATACTCCATGTTAAAAACATAAAAGGAACCAAAGAAAACACAGAGATAAAATAAATATAAAATAGCAACATAAAGCATCAGAATAGATGGGGCAGTAAAGGTTGAACAGTAATTTACCATTTATTATCACAGTAAATATCTGTAATGGTACATAGAGTAAACTACTGTAATTTATTCTTTGCACTACAGAATTTCATACAAATCCTGCCTCTTTTTACAGTAAAATACTGTTTCTTTTCATTACAGCTAAACACTGGCTATTTTACAGTTATTTACTGCATAATCTACAGTAAGGGTTAACAGTGTATACAATAAGGTTTCATAAGTTGCAACCCAGGCTCATTCTGAAAACGTAGTCCTGTGGACGTTTCTGGAGACCATGAAGTCTGTCCCAGGAGGTACGTATTTTTGCAGTTTTTGTTTTTGCAAATCCCGAGAGGCCGCTGTGTGCTATTTTTCGCATCTCAAATGTCGTTCGTGCACGCGCTGTTCTCGCGTAAACCCACCAGAGACCGCCATCGAACGAGCGTCTGTCTATCCAACTGAATGATTGACTGGGCAACCCACACTCCTCCTTCCCTAAACCCAACCAGTTTTAACGATTGACCCGCCCACCCGCTTACTTTCCTAATCCCAAAGCCGTCCAGAAAAAGAAAAGCCCTCATCTGATTTTTACCACACTTTCAGATTATACCACATTCTCACCCTGTTATTTACTTGTTCACTTTATTTTTGGATTCTGTTTTTGTCTTACCTGATTTCTGGAACCTCTCCTCCCCAGACTCGAACCCGGTCATCATTGTGGTCAGCTACTCTCTGCGTCTCAAGTCCGCCAACGTACACGACGAGCTTACTGGACAAACTGCTTAGGGCGAGAACGCCCTCCACAAGGAGGTAAGCAGTCAGCCAGTAAGCGCGAAAAGGAACGCCGTCAAACCGCCCTGTAGCCTTCGCTTAAAAACTTAAATGCAGCCATAGCCTACATAACTCCGGCTACATAATTCGCAGTCTCCAGAAACGTCCATGGGACTACATTTTCAGAATGAACCTGGGTTGATAATTTCACAGGTTGTAGACCTTTTATTCATTTAACACTTCATATAAAAACCCAACCACTAAATAAAGGTACTATTATTAATGTACTTACGCAGGTGTTTGCAAGTTGCATTAGGTTGTCACCATCCTTGCATAATGCTTTATGTGAGTTCAATAATTAAAGAAAAGTACATTGTTGATTCATAAATACTTACTTGGTTCTATGCGTGTTAAATATCTTATTGTTACCCCTTTATTACCCAATCATTTTGGTTTGCTCCTTTGCAGTTTTTTAGAAAAGTACACTGTAAATTCAATACACTTACGTGGCACTTTGCGTGTTGCATATCTGCCCCAGCTACATTCTTATTTTGCTGTTTAATATGTGTGTGTGTGTTGGTTGCCCAATGATTTTACACATTAAACATTTACAGATACAGTATGGATACTATACATTACTATCAAACAAAACTACTATCATCAGATTATATGGGAGATTGTAATAGATGATAGTTATATCAAAGTTAAAGTGCAGAGGGAAAAATACCAGACACTGCCTTCAGTGGGCGACCATGTTAGAACTGCAGAGGGCAAGCTTGTCTTCAGTGTATAACCAAATTAGTCAACCCAGGCTCATTCTGAAAACGTACCTCTATATGCATTTCTGTAGAGCGCCAAATTTGTCCTAGAGGGTACTTTTTTGCAGTTTTTGTTTTTGCAAATCCACCAGAGGCCGCTGTACTAGCGAGTACTATTCACCATGCTGTTCTCATATAAACCCACTAGAGGCCGCTGTTGACTGACTTGACTGACTGACCAATTGACTGACCCACTCTCCTCCTTCCCTTAACCCAACCAATTTTATCGATTGACCCACCCACTTACTTAAACCCAACCAACAATTTTCAAAAGCAATCCAGAAAAACAGAAGCTCTTGTCTGATTTTCCCACGTTTTCAGATTTGACCACATTCTCACCCTGTTATTTACTTGTTTATTACATTTTTTGGACTCTTCTTTCTGCAACCATTCTTCACCGGACTTGCACCATGTCATCTTGTGTCAACTCCTCTCTGCATCTCAAGTCCGCCGACAAACATGGCGAGCTAACGGGACAAACTGGTTACAGCAGGAAAGCTGTTCATACGCTGTTCATTAAATGCAGCCATACGTACCTCTGGCTACTTAATTTGCGGTCTCCAGAAATGTATATATGGCTACGTTTTCAGAATGAGCCTATGTTGAAATTAGTACATAACATAGAAATGTGTTTTTGAAATTCAATGGAAATGGCACAGTAATTTCTTCAATGAGCATCATGAATATCCTCCGCTGTCACAGTACATGCCTGATTCTTTCTTAAAACTCCTGAATGCTTTATTTAAAGTTCTTTGCTTCATGTTTGAACAAAAGAAAAGTCTAGTGTGGCAGGAAATGTTCTGCGGTGGGTTTGATGCCCACTCATGATAGCAGATATTTGCTGATGACCATATTTAGTCTTATCAGTCAATAGGGATGCATCAGGGTTTGTTCTGGTATAAAACCAACAATCGGTCAGCACAAACAAGAAGACGGAACAAGATTAAGATTCGACTCTTTCCACTGCATTGACACCTTAAAGATGGGTAAGAAATTAATATCTATTATGCATATTATACTTTCATAATAACCTTTCAGAATATAAATATAAGACTGTTTATAACTGTGCTTTCTGTGCTTTTTTGTTTAGAAAACAGCAGTTTTGGGCTTAAAAATTTGACTGGAAACTCAACAGACAAGAACGCTGTGGAGGACAAGGGATTTAAGATTTTTCTTGCCTGCATTTTCTTTTCCACCGTCTCAGTGGGTCTCATTGGAAATGGGCTGGTCATATTTCTGGCCGGCTGCAGAATGAAAATGACTTTCAACTCCATTTGGTTTTTGAATTTGGCGATCGCAGACTTCATCTTTATTTTATTTTCGATCACAAATGCTTCCTTAACGTTGAGCAAGCAGCACAGTGTTGTCAAGGAATACTTTCTCTTCATCGCAACAAGTATAAATCTGTTTGCTAGCATTTGGTCTCTTGTAGTTATCAGTCTGGATCGATGCCTGTGCACATGGATGGCCGTTTGGGCTCAAAACAACAGAACTCTGCGTAAAGCCAGAATCATCTGCATTATCATCTGGGTTTCATCCATCGGCTACATTTTACCCTACTTCACAGTTTTTAACATTACAGGTACAATTCTTGTGACATATGGATTTATAGTGGTCTTTCTCATCCCCTTCCTGATCATTGCATCTTCATACATCGCTATTGGAGTAAAAATCAATCGCCTCAAAAAGAGGAAGCAGCTCAGGTCATACAGACTCATTATAACTGTAATCCTGACTTTCTTCATCTGTTCATTTCCACACAATGTTTGCTGGATTTGGATGGTATGGGCAAAAAATAATAATTGGACTCTCACTGATCAATTTTGGAAGCTATTTGTTTTTACTTTCTACCTGATGAATCTCAACAGCAGTCTGAACCCATTTCTCTATGTGTTCATGTGTGATGATTTCAAGAAGAAGCTGAAACAGTCTCTGGTACTGGTGCTGGAGACGGCATTTGCTGAAGATCATCTGGACATTAAAGAAATGAGACACACGAAAATGATAAACAGACAAAACAAACCACACTTGAATTGCTAGAAATGTAGAAAATTGTCTTGGAGGGAAAAGGAGTTTGCAATCATTGCTAATACTGCATATAATTATCACAGTTAAACAGTAACTGTCATCTGTATTCAGCATAATTTTCTGTCTAAGACATCTCTTGTAAATTATAGTTTTATAAATCCAGGTTTTGTGCTTGGTTTAGTTTTGTGTTCTTGTTTTCAGTGTCTGTATATTCACTTAGGGCTGATTTCATTGTTTAGTTCAGTGTGTGTATGTAAGTCTCAGTCTGTCTTCATTGATGTTTGTGTCGTTGACCTGTTCATCTATTTTATTAGATTAAAAGCATTGCTATTAGCATCTGTGTTTGGAGAGCATTTTATTCTCTTTAATCAGCACAAACACTATTTATCAGATGACCATTACGGACCAGTGATGGAGTTTTAATGATAAGGGCCAGGTTTTTACAGTATTTTTTAAGCTATGTGGTAACACTTTACAATAAGGTTCATTAGTTAATGCATTTACTAACATGAACTAATCATAAACAACACGTGTACAGCATTTATTCATCATAATTGAACATTTACTAATGCATTATTAACATTTAACTCCATGCTTGTTAACATTAGTTAATGCACCATGAGTTAACATGAACTAACAATAACCTACTGTATTTTCATTAACTAGCATTAACTAACATGAACAAATACAGTAGTAAATGTATTGTTCATTGTTTGTATATCTTAGTAAATGCATTAATTATCATTAATGAACCTTATTGTAAAGTGTGACCAGCTATTTTTATGTTCCATGTATCAGTCAAAATGTTTAAATTTTACTATAATTTACATTTAAATATAAATGCAGAGTTAATTTAGCATACAGAGTTCTCCTAAAAGGCAGAAAAAAACGTTTTGCTGAGTTTTTTTGTATAGTTTACTAAGCTAGCAATATCTGAAATATTATTTTTAATTGTTATTCTCTTTTCTTCATATATATTAAGCTTCTTTGACACCATCTACAAAGAAAACAAGCTAGATAAATTAGCAGATAAATTAACACTAAAATGGAGTACTTAAGCCTCATAAATAAGCACAAAATGACAGGAACAACTTCAAAATGCAACTACCCCCATCACCAGGCTGGATACAGGCCTGTTGTGTCAGTATTACAGAACAGTGGAGTACATTATTGCCCTACTCCAAAGAGAATCAGGACCTCAGTTTAATGTCTCATCTAAAAGATGTTGCTCACTGACATTATTCATGGGGACCAAAAACGTCACTTCTGCAACGCTCGCCGCCATATTTGTGTCCAGTATGATCACATGCACACCCCAGCACTTTTTAATGTGACTAAATAAAATCAATGTTTCGCTAAAGAATAAACAAATACTGGTTATGATGCTACTGATGATGCCTCGAACTGTTTTGTTTCTTCAAATCTGCAACGTGTCTGTCTTAACTTCCTTTTCTGTTCACTTATTCACGGCTTCACCACTGTTTGTCGTGGCCACAAACATTACGACATGCAGCCTATTACTTATGATGATCAGAAAACTCACCCAAAAACAGTATTTAAAGAAAATACATTCTGGTGATCTGCTGAACGATCGAGTCTAGTATTAAGCTCAAACACTGGTGAAGTGTGACTAGTGAAGACTAAGGCCCTGTTTACACTGCCAGTAAATGTGACCCAATTCAGATTTTTTGCTCATATGTGAAACAGATCGGATCTGTTCTATGACCATGTAAACACAAAAAAAAATGTATGCATTTGATTCAGAGACCCGTTTTAGGCATCCTTCATATGTGGAAATAAATCAGATATAAATTGGATATGTGACAATGCAACTGTCATGTAAACAGGCAGATCAGGTTTATTGAGGCATTTCTTTTAGAATGTCATTAAACTTGCGACAATTTGGAACTTCCCTGTGGTTTAATGACATAGAAGGAAAAGCATATGTGGAGACGCTGACGCGATAAACAACAACAACAGAGGAAACATGGAGGAAGAAAGTGGTCAGTGGTTGATGTTACCTGCCTTCTTGCCCTTTGGGGAGATGAGTCAGTGGAAGACACCTTATATAAACCACAGGCGCAAGCTTCGATGATGGCCTTTTCCCACCTCCTCAGCCTCAAAATCATTGTAAAGTTGTAAATTGTATGGCAAGTGTAAGGCAACTTCTTCAAAGTTTTTAAGGTTACAGGTACAATTCGTGTGACATATGGATTTATAGTGGACTTTCTCATCCCCTTCCTGATCATTGCATTTTCATACATCACTATTGGAGTAAAAATCAATCGCCTCAAAAAGAGGAAGCAGCTCAGGTCATACAGACTCATTATAACTGTAATCCTGACTTTCTTCATCTGTTCATTTCCACAATATATTTGCTGGATTTGGATGGTAAGGGCAAAAAATAATAATTGGACTGTCACTGGTCAATTTTGGAACCTATTTCATTTTGCTCTCTACCTGGTTAATCTCAACAGCAGTCTGAACCCATTTCTCTATGTGTTCATGTGTGATGATTATAAGAAGAAGCTGAAACAGTCTCTGGTGCTGGTGCTGGAGACGGCGTTTGCTGAAGATCATCTGGACATTAAAGAAATGAGACACTCAAAAATGATAAACAGGCAAAACAAACCACACTTGAATTGCTAGAAATGTAGAAAACTGTTTTTGGGGAAAAAGAGTTTGCAATCATTGTTAATAATCCATATAATTATCACAGTTAAACAGTAACTGTCATCTGTATTAAGCATAATTGTCTGTCTAAGACATCTCTTGTAAATTATAGACTTATACATCCAGGTTTTGTGCTTGGTTTAGTTGTGTGTTCTTGTTTTCATTCATTCATTTTCTTGTCGGCTTAGTCACTTTATTATTCCGGAGTCACCACAGCGGAATAAACCGCCAACTTATCCAGCAAGTTTTTTACACGGCGGACACCCTTCCAGCCGCAACCCATCTCTGGGAAACCTGGAGGAGACCCACGTAAACGCAGGGAAAACATGCTACCTCCACACAAAAACGCCAACTGAGCCGAGGCTCGAACCAGCGACCTTCTTGCTGTGAGGCAACAGCACTACCTACAGCGCCACTGCTTCGCCCATTCTTGTTTTCCGTGTCTGTATATTCACTTAGGGCTGATTTCATTGTTTAGTTCAGTGTGTGTATTTGTCTCAGTCTATCTTTGTAGTTTTTTTGTCTTGACCTGTTCATCTATTTCATTAGATTAAAAGCATTGCAGTGTACATAATTTATTTCTGTTCTCTTTAATCAGCACTAACACTTTATTTTTTTGTCACATGACCATTACTGACCAGTTAAGAATTTTTTATGATATCGGTTAAATCGATAAAGTCATTTTAAAGCTTTTTTTTTGTCAGGATTCTGCTAAGTCTTGTTAATTCTTGTTTTGGTGGCAGATTCCAGACATTAGTCCTGTCATGTCTCGTAGGTTGTAATCTCTTTTAAGTCTGTCATGCCAAATCCAGTCAAGCTTAGTATAAGTGTGTATTAATGCTATGTTTTCCCCCCAGGGATGTTTCAGTTATTTTGTTTAGTTTTTGTTAAATAAAGTCCTTCATTTCTGCAAATGGGTCCTCGCCTCATCTCCTCCAACCCCCATACCGTGACCATTTTTTATGTTCCATTTATCATTCAAAATTGTGTTTAAAAATAAAAAAATTAGTAGACAACATGTCCTTTATACTAAAATAGCCTTTCTGCTGTTGAGAAAACAGAAAAATATCTAGCGTTAATTATAAATGCAGTCTTAGTTTAAAAACGGCCTGTATTCAAACACTTTGGGCTCTATTTTGACAATCCATGCGCAGATCGCAGGGCGCAAACGCTTTCAGGGTGTGTCAGAATGCATTTTTGCTAATATAAGGATGGAAAAATCCGCTTTGTGCCATGGCGCATGGTCTAAAAGGGTTGAGTTTATTTTCTTAATGAGTAATAGGTGTGTTTTGAGAATAAACCAGATTCTCAAAATCAGAGTCTCATCTCTCATTCCCTTTAAGAGCCAGTTGCATTGCGCCATGGCACATTTGCTATTTACATGACGTAAAGTAAGTGTAAGTGGAAAAACTGAGCATTTCACTTGCAAGAAAACAGTTGAACAGAGCATCTACAGCGCGAGAATGAGAGATAAATTATTAAAGGGCCATGAAACCCCCTCGTTTCAGCAGGGTGTTTTCACACCTCTTCTTTGGAAAAAGTCAGAAAAGTGGGGGTGTCCAGCTCTGTTTAGGGGGGAGTGTCGGAGAAACTAAAGCGGGAGGGTGTGGGAGTGTCTATTTGGGCACGCGCGAGTTTCAGTCAAAATAAACAGGAGAAAGGGATGGTGTTTAACCTGCATGGACATCTGTAGTCGAATTATTTGCCAAATTATTAAATGTCGGACTTTAACTGCAGTTCGGCTCTTTCATTCAGGGAATTCATTCATGCCCCTCGCGACAAATGAGATATTTGATTCGAGGAACTGCTCTAAGCGTGTATTTTTCATGCAATGTTTGATACCGCACGGCGAATGACAGAAAAAAAACTCAGCATTTCCCGGAAACTTAGATGCACACGGCAGGTAGCGTCCGAAAGCCGCGTGTGTTATTCCGGTCACAAAATGCGGTGCTAACATGTTTGCACTCAATGCAATAGTTAACTTATTTGATACGAACAAGCTGAATATAGGCTACAAAGAGCACTGGTCGCTCACTTACCAAATCTGTAGAGACAGGACAATCACCAGCAACTAGAGCCGCGTCTTTATGAAGAGAAGACTACATCCGGAATCCGGATTTCAGCGTTTGCAGATGAGAACAGCTCTCAGGTAAACAATAATCCCCCTTAGACACGTAAATTATTGTTGTCGCGCGTCGCGTACACTGTAATCCACACGTGATCCAGATAAGCTCTCACAGAGAGAAAATGAAAACGAAACTTAACAGCAGCAAACTGTAAAAGCAACACTTCACGCTTGTTTTGCCAACACAACGTGGCGTCTCTGTGGTGTAAAGACG